CTGAGATCAGGAACACAACAGGGATGTCCACTCTCACCGCTGTTGTTTCACATAGTGTTGGAAGTGCTAGCATCAGCAATCAGCAAAAGGAAATCAAAGGCATCAAAATTGGCAAAGATGAAGTCAAGCTTTCACGTTTTGCAGATGACATGATACTATATATGGAAAACCCAACAGACTCCACCGAAAGTCTGCTAGAAGTGATACATGAATTCAGCAAAGTCGCAGGATACAAAATTAATGTACAGAAATCAGTTGCATTCCTTTACACTAACAACGAAGCAACAGAAAGACAAAGAAACCGATCCCATTTACAACTGAACTAAGAATCACAAAGATCTGTATGCTAAAAACTATAGAAAACTTATGAAGGAAATCGAAGAAGATACAATGAAATGGAAAAATATTCCATGCTCATGGATTAGAGGAATAAATATTGTTTGAATGTCAATATTACCCAAAGCAATCTACACATTCAATGCAATCCCAATCAACATTGCACCAGCATTCTTATCGAAGCTAGAACAAGCAATCCTAAAATTTGTATGGAACCACAAAAGACCCTGAATAGCCAAAGTAATATTGAAAAAGACCAAAGTGGGAGGCATCCCAATCCCAGACTTTAGCCTCTACTACAAAGCTGTAATCATCAAGGCAGCATGGTATTGGCACAAAAACAGACACATAGACATATGGAATAGAATAGAGACTCCAGAATTGGGCCCACAAAAGTACGGCCAAGTAATATTTGACAAAGCAGGAAAGAGTATCCAATGGAAAAAAGACAGTCTCTTTAACAAATGGTGCTGGGAGAAGTGGACAGCAACATGCAGGAGAATTAAACTAGACCACTTTCTTACACCATTCACAAAAATAAACTCAAAATGCATGAAGGACCTGAATGTGAGACAGGAAACCATCAAAACCCTAGAGGAGAAAGCAGGAAAAAAAACCTCTCTGACCTCAGCCGTAGCAGTTTCTTACTTGACACATCTCCAAAGGCAAGGGAATTAAAAGCAAAAATGAACTATTGGGACCTCATGAGATAAAAGGCTTTTGCACCGCAAAGGAAACAATCAACAAAATTAAAAGGCAACCAACGGAATGGGAAAAGATATTTGCAAATGACATATCGGACAAAGGGTTAGTATCCAAAGTCTATAAAGAACTCACCAAACTCCTCACCCAAAAAACAAATAATCCAGTGAAGAAATGGGCAGAAGACATGAATAGACACTTCTCTAAAGAAGACATCCAGATGGCCAACAGGCACATGAAAAGATGCTCAATGTTGCTCCTCATCAGGGAAGTACAAATCAAAACCACACTCAGATACCACCTCACGCCAGTCAGAGTGGCTAAAATGAACAAATAAGGAGACTATAGATGCTGGCGAGGATGTGGAGAAATGGGAACCCTCTTGCACTGTTGGTGGGAATGCAAACTGGTGCAGCTGCTCTGGAAAAGTGTGGAGGTTCCTCAAAAAATTCAAAATAGATGTACCCTATGACCCAGAAATAGTACTGCTAGGGATTTACCCAAGGGATACAGGAGTGCTGATGCAGAGGTGCACTTGTACCCCAATGTTTATAGCAGCACTTTCAGCAATAGCCAAATTATGGAAAGAGCCTAAATGTCCATCAACTGATTAATGGATAAA